AGTTTGTTGGAAGAACAAGTATTATGAAAATGTCCTTACTACCCAAAGCAAATTACAGACTTAACACAATCCCTAACAAAACGCCAAAAACATTTTTCACAGAACTAGAACAAATAATCTTAAAATTTGTTTGGAGCCACAAAAAACCCTGAATAGCCAAAGCAATCTTGAAAAAGAACAAAACTGGAGGTATCACAATCTCAGATTTCAAGATACACTACAAAGCTGTAGTAATCAAAACAGTATGGTACTGGCACAAAAATAGACACATAAATCAATGAAACAGAACAGAGAGCTCAGAGAGCATGATTATATGGTCAATTAATCTTCGACAAAGGAGGCAATGGGAAAAAGACAGTCTCTTCAACAAATGGTTCTGGGAAAAGTGGACACCAACATGAAAAAGAATGAAACTGGACCACTTTCTTACACGATACACAAACATAAATTTAAAATAGATTAAGGACCTATATGTGAGACCTAAAACCATAAAAATCCTAGAAGAGAGCACAGGCAGTAACTTCTCTGACATCAGCTGTAGCAACATATTTCTAGATATGTCTTCCGAGGCAAGGGAAACAAAAGCAAAAATAAACTATTGGGACTATATCAAAATAAAAATTTCTGCACAGCACAGGAAACAATCCACAAAGTTAAAAGGCAACCTACTGAATGTGAGAGAGTATTTGCAAATGACATATTTGATAAAGGGTTAGTATCCAAAATACATAAAGAACTTATAAAACTCAACACCCAAAAAACAAATAATCCAATTGAAAAATGGACAAAAGACATGAACAGACATTTCTCCAAAGAAGACAAATAGATGGCCAACAGACATATTGAAAGATGCTCAACATCACTTATCATCAGGGACATGCAACTGAAAACCACAATGTGCTATCACCTCACATCTGTCAGAAGGGCTAAAATCTAAAACTCAAGAAACAAGTGTTGAGAAGGACGTAGAGAAAAAGGAACCCTCTTGCACTGTTGGTAGGAATGCAAACTGGTGCAGCCACTGTGGAAACCAGTATGGAGATTCTTCAAAAAATTAAAAATAGCTTTTGGTCTTTTAGTGATGCTGCAGGGGTGGCCGCTGTTCTCTGAGCTTTGTAATGTCGCCCAAGGATGATAAGAAGAAGAAAGATGCCAGAAAGTCAACCAAGAAAGACAAAGACCCAGTGAACAAACCTGGGGATAAGACCAAAAAGAAATGATCCAAAGGCAAAGTTCAGCACAAGCTCAATAACCTGGTCTTGACAAAGCGACATATGACAAACTCTGTAAGGAAGTTCTCAGCTATTAGCTTATAACCCCAGCTGTTGTCTCTGAGAGACTGAAGATTTGAAGTTCCTAGCCAGGGCGGCCCTTCAGGAGCTCCTCAGTAAAGGACTTATTAAACTGGTTTCAAAGCACAGAGCTCAAGTAATTTACACAAGAAATACCAAGGGTGGAGATGACCCAGCTGCTGGTGAAGATGCATGAAGAGAGCCCACCAACTGTACATTTTGAAAAATAAAACTTTATTAAATTAAAAATTAAAAATAGAATTACCCTATCATCTAGTAATTTCACTCCTGGGTAATTTATCCAAAGAATATGAAAACATTAATTGAAAAAGATATGTGCACACTTATGTTTACTGCAACATTATTTACAATAGCTATACTATGGAAGCAGCCCAAGTGTCCATCGATAGATGAGTGGATAAAGAAGAAGTGGTGTGTGTGTGTGTGTGTGTGTGTATGAGTATTATTCAGCCATAAAAAGGAATGATATCTTGCCATTTGCAACAAAATGGATGGAGCTAGACAGTATAATGCTAAGTGAAATTAAGTTGGTCAGAGAAAAACAAATTCCATATACGGAATTTAAGAAACAAATGAACAAAGGAAAAAAGAGACCATCCAAAAACCAGACTCTTAACTACAGAGAACAAATTGATGGTTACCAGAGGGGAGGCAGGTAGGGGGACAGGTGAAATAGGTGATGGGGATTAAGAGTACATTTATCCTGATGCGCACTGAATAATGTGTGGAATTGTATCACTATATTGTACACCTGAAACCAATATAACACTGTATGTTAACTATACTAGAATTAAAAATTAAAAAAAAAATAATCCAAAAAAACCCCACTTTAATTGGAAGGAGGACAACGGGAGGAGAAATGAAACAAAATACAGATAATTGTTGCGGGCAGGTGATAGGTAGGTGAGAGGTCATTATTCTTTCCTGCCTTATGCATGTATAAAAATTTCTATAGTAAAACAGTTTTAAAAAGAGCAAGAAATTGTTCTCTTCCTCACAGGTAGTCTTTTGCTTCTTCCCTTTTCCTTCATCGCACTAACTATTGTCATTATACATTTTTGAGATTATTTAATGATTGTCTCTAACTAGACTTTAAGCTCCATGAGGATTACAAAGATGTTTGCTTAGCTCTAGTAGAATTGCTACCACCTCACAAAGTTTCTGGCATGTGACAGGCCTCCAACAAATATTAAGAAAATGACTTAGTCAATATGATAAGTCACTGTGCACCTGGGTCAATATCAATAAATACTCAATAAATAAAATGGGGGGGGAACCAGGAACCTTTGGATGAAGGAATTCAACATATTTACCTGTATGTACTTACCATTTAAATTGACATGCTTTTCTATTTAAAGTGTAGTAAAAATGTCACAAAACGGATTTAACTTCATCTAGCTTGTCCTCACTTTACACATGTAATGTATTCAGTTAATAACTATAATCTCCACTTTATGATATGGAAACTATGGAACTAAAAAGTTAGGAAACTTTTTCAAGGTCATGATGAAACAGAAGCACAAGTGAACAAAGCTCAGCTCTGTTCTCAGGCCTCATGCTGTTCCTAAAAGAACATGATTTTAGTCTCAGGAAAAATAAAACAATAAAAGAGGAAAGGGAGTACTGTATATATTAATTCAATCGTCAGTGGCTGAGAAACTTGAGTAGTATGACAGTCTCAGTTGGAAATATTTTGACTTTGCCCAAAACAATTTCAAGGTTGAAGCACCCCATAGCAGAGGAATTCTAAAAAGCAGAAGGTGAGGCATTTAGACAATAGAGAACAGAAAAAGATGACACTTAAGCAATGTTTTGTTTTGTTTTTTAACTGGTTAAATTGAAATAGTATAGTGAGGGACAACTAACAAGAAAATTCATATACAGAATAAATACTAATACCAAGATATTAAGACACAAGTCCCCTGGGTTCCCAAATTTTAAGTTTATTTATCTCAAATATAATACTAGAATTAATAATGTTTCTATTTAATCATTATTTTATATAGAAGTAGCCTACTAAAATATCACTATGCTCCCAAATCCTTTCGAAATGGTTAAAATCCAAGTTCACCTTAATTCAGTAATAGATAATGATGTGCACATTCAGAAAGGCAGAACTGCGAAATGTTTGCCATTAATGGAAACATAACTATTTGTAAAACTAATCTTAATTCAGCCAATCTGAAAGCTCTTGAGCTATGGTGTCAAAACATGTCCCAGCCATATTTTTGGAGAACATTTAGAGACAAACTAATCAAAGTCTAAAATAAAGTCTGCCACAAAATCTAAAATATTAAAATACCTAGTTTTAGCAAAAAACATTTTAAATATCCCAGTAAACTTATTGTGGGGAGAAAATCTGGAAAGATTTTTTTTTTGTTCACATAGAGGGTTACAAAGAGGTATCTGGCCTGGGTTGAATTCTACACTAGGTTACTCTACTGTTACTCAAGCATAATTACTACTCTTGGAGCTGCTACAAGGACTCAAGGCGTTCAGGTTTACTCCTGTACTCCTGTACTCCTGTATCATGGGTTGTCAAATCATGTTTCCAATTTGCAGTACATCATTCACTGCAGGGTAACGATTTACATATGCAATTTCCAAACAAGAATGAAAGATTTACTTGCCCCATGATGGCTTCTTCTCAACTTTTAAAATAATTTATAAAAGCGCCAGCTGAGCATGAATTCGCATCCTCAGTCTATCAATACCCTCAGCCTTTTAATGTAAGCAGTAAAAGGAGTACTGTCCTCTGAAGGCAGACAACGCTGCTGACCCACGCGAGGCATTGATTTGTAGTTGTTTTTCCACTGGGGTGATGGATTTGCGCTCAGCTACTCACGGTGTCTACTAGGTCCCCCTGGTGACCGACAGTACATGAAGGCAGTAGTAGGGTTCGAAGACACAGACTGGCAGCGGCACAGAGGGTGGAACGGGGAAATCATGAAAGATAAACACGCGAACAGTACACATGACATGACTGAGAATTACGTTTGCATTGCTGGGGTATTTGAGATCGGCACCAGACACTGTCCCCTTTCTTTTTAGAAAGCAAACACCCATCCGCCTCTTTCGGGCTTCTGAGTCCTACCTCCTATTTAAATCACGAGTGCGATGGAAAGACCGAACCAAGGGGCTCGCACTAGACACATGTCGCTTCTCGGGTATTTGGGGAAACACTGGTGTGACAAATTGCCATAATCTTCTAAAATATGGTGGAATGACACACCACCTCTCCTACCACCGACCGAAGACACAGAGTCGTGAAAAACCGACCTGCGGGGCCCACAGGGGAGGGGGAGGAGAGCGCCAGACCAGGGAGCAGCCGGCGCACGTCCCGAGCCCAGGCTGCCGAGCCTCAACTACTAGGGGCGTAGGGTCGCACCCGGGTCACGTCTCGGGGCTCTCGGGATGCTAGGGGCGCTAGGGCGAGCCCGGGCGGGGAGACCCGGGCCCCGGAGCCCGGCGGCCAGGGCGCGAGAGGCGCCGGGGCAGCCTTAGGGAGCGCGGGCAGCGCCGCCGTAGGGTCTGCGGCGCCGGGGCTGCCGGGGAGGGCGCGCCGCCAGGTGCCGGACGGCAGGGGGCAGCGGGTTTCGAGCGGGCGCCGACCCAGGGAGGGAGGAGGGAGGCGGGCGAGTTCCGCGCGGCGAGGGAGGGCGCCCGGCGGGCTCGCCGCCGGCCTACCTGGAGGTAATAGGGTTTCCTTAGCCAGGCCCCCGGACAGAGACTCCTCGCCATGGTAATCACACATCGCCCCGCCGCGCCGCAGTCAGAGGCGGACCCGAGCGCTGGCGACCCGGCTCCCCGCCTTCTCCCTCTTCCCCGCCCCCAGCCCGCCCCGGCCCGCCCACTCCTCCGCCCCCGCCGCGGCGCGCGCCGCGCTCCCCCCGGCCCAGCTGCGGTGACGGCGGCCGGCTGCCCGAGGCTCGGCCTCCTGCTCTGCTTGCCCGGCCGCCGCGGCTGTCAGAGCCGCCGCTGCCGACTCCACAATAAAGGGGAGTCGCGCCTTGCCTCGGCCGACACAAATCCAACTGCGCCTCGCGCTTAAAGGGGAGGCGTGCGGAGGAGGCAGAGGGCGCCGTGGAAGGCCGGGTGTCGCACGCTCCACGCGGGGAGGGGTGGGTCGAGCAGGGTGTGTACCGCGCGGGCCCGAGCGCCAACCCTTCGGACCTTGCGGACCTAGCCGTCGGCCGCCGGCTCCCAGCGCTGCTTCCGCCGCGCCTCCCGCCAACCCCGCTACTCGTCCAGCTAGGACTGACGTTCCCTTTGGACTGTGCTCCTTCAGTCGGGACGTGTCTGGGCGGGCTGCATGGAAATTTAAGGGAAGCTTGGGGTTCCTTGCATGGAGACGGGCTCGTTCTCCCTCGCGCGCGCGGCGAGGGGTGCGGCCGGGGCAGGGGGCGTCTGCCGCAGCCCGAAAGGCCTAGGGGCGCAGCCCCTGAGTCCTGGGCTCTGCGCTTTGTGGCGGAGCGAACGCGGACAGGGCTCCTCTCCGCTGAACTGAGAGTGCCCCCCAAAGCCATTTCTTCTCTTAACGGCCTTAAACTTTTTTTTTAAATGTACTTTAAAAAAAAATTCAAACTTTAAGTTTGTATTGTTTTCAAACATCTTCAATTTTCCTGGCCCCACCCAGGAACCCTGACTCAAAAGAAAAAAAGAAAACTAGTACTGAATTAAATGCAGTCCTGAAGATAGGAGACCTGGGACGTGGCATAGCTACTGAGTGAAGGCTACATAACGAAGGGTGTGGTGTCTCTTTTGACAGTGAAGTCCAAATAAGGGAAAAAAGAGCCACCCTAGTGGGAGAACAGCTGTTGTTCCGAGAGACGCGAGAGATGCGTAATGAAGGACGGTGCGTTTTTTGCTTCTTTTACCCCACATACTACCTTTTCACGTGATGCCAACACAGTGTAGGTAGCCAGTTAGAACTCACTCTGGCCCGTTGCTCTGAGCAGTGTTTTCTCCAGAAGCCAATCTTTACTCAGTCGCTGTGGTTTTTACCTAAACCTCGTTCTGGTGTTTTGCATTTCTGGAGGGGAAAAAAAAAAAAAAACTTTGCACCTGCCCCTCCCCCAACCCACATACAGACACAGATTTTTAAACCAGGGTGTGTGTGATTGCTTGCAGATAAATCCATTTTTCATTGATTTTCAGTTTGGGTTAAGAGAACAGTAATTTCTTGAGTTAGATAAGAGTGGATGCTACCTGTTTCTTTCATTCATTCATTCATTAATCCAATAAATACTAACCGAACACCGGGACATTGTTCTAGTTGGTTGGGTTATAAACCCGAACAAAATGGAAATACCCTTGTGAATATTACGTTTTCGGGGTGGGGTAACAAGCAATAAATAATAAATGTAGCAAATGAAATCAAATAGGGTAATAAAGCTGATAGGGGATATAAAAAAAAGAAAACATCAGTGGAGATGAGGGGAACTACAGGTGGTGTAGGTTTGAAGAGAAAGATTGGGAGTTCAATTTAGACATGTGACATTTGAGATCTATTAGAAATCCAAGTGAAGATCTTGAGTAGGTACTTGTAAATTTGAGTCTGGGGTTAAAGATAGTGGCTCAAGCTAGAGATATTTGAGAGATACTAACATTTAGATATTTACAGCCATGAGACTGGACAAGATTACCAAAGGAGAGAATGTAAATAGGAGAGAACCAAGGATGAAGCTAGCAAAGGAGACTGAGAAGGAGCAGCCAGTGAAGGAGGAAAACCAAGAGAGAGGTGCCTGGAAGCCGAGTGAAGATAGTGTATCAAGGAGCAGTGAATGCTTATATGTAAGGACTGAGAACTAACCTTTGGACCTAGTACCATAGAGGCTATGGTAACACTTGAGTGGAGCAATGGGAGAAAATTTGATCTGTGTGGGTTTAAGAAAAAATGGGAGGAGGGAATTAGGATGTCTAATACACACAATTCTTTTGAGAAGTTCTTGACAAAGGGGAGCCCAAAAATGAGCAGTAACTGGTGGTGGAAGTAGAATCAACAGCAGAATGACAAATTGGGAAAAATACTTGTTTTTGATGAGAATGATCTGGAAAAGATCTGGAAGATGAAAAAGCAATGTAGGATCAAGAAGGGAAAATTGCTGGAGCAGTGTCACTGAGTGGGAAAGAATTTGGAATCTAGCACACAAGCAAAAGGATCTTCTGTAGACAGGAGCACAGGCTCTTCTATGGGAACAGGCAAACAAGTGGATAGGAGGCGTAGTGGGAATCTGTGGAAGTTCTCTTCCGATCATTTCAGTTTTCTCAGAGGCAAAGGAAGTAAGGTCATCAACAGAGAAGTGAAGAAGAGTAACTGAGCTTTGAGGAGAGAAAAGGTGTGACGTAGTTATCTAGGAGAATGGGAAGATGAATGGACTAGGGAAAAATCATATGCTTACTGAGTGCCATAAGGACCAACTTGAATTCATGGTCAGGAATTTAACGGAGATAAGTCAGTGTGGTGGTGCCTTTTTTGTCCACTAAAAATTGGCTACCAGGATGCAGGCTCAGAATAGGCTTAGAATTCTTTTTAATCATGTTTTACCAAGGGAAGAAGAGCAAGGAAGTTGAGAATATAACTAAGGGAGTGATTATGATTCTCCATGGAGTTTAGGATGAGGGAAGAATGAATATGGAGAGATCAAGGACAGAGAAAAGGTGGTAGGATCAATGAATTGCAAGTTTTTGAGAGACTGTAGGAGTCAGAGGATAAAAGGGAATGAGCTGGAAAGATAGATATATAATAAAGAGTCTGACTCCATTTTTAAAATATTCATTGACAGCTTTCAAGCTCCACTTCTCCTCTTTTCCCTGTGCCCCACATACAGGAAAATTGATAAGATGACTCCTTTGGTGCTGGTGGAAAGTACAAACCATGCAAGACCCAGCCCACTCGAGGGAACCTTCATCCTGGTCGTACCCCTCTATCACCATAAAACCCTAAGACAGTCTTCTTTCTCTGCTCCCTTAGACCACATTTGTACCAGCTTAGGAGCCTGCCCTGCTCTCCACAGAGAGCTGCTTTTTGCGAGTAATATTTTTTAAGATTTTATTTTTAAGTAATCTCTAGACCCAACATGGGGCTCAGACTCACAGCTCTGAAACCAAGAGCCACACACTCCACCAACTGACCCAGCCAGGTGCCCCATACAACTTTTCATATTCTCTTTGTACGTGTGTGGCATCATCAGTATCGACATCCAAACCAAATCTGAGGTAGAGGAGTCCATCCTACTTCTGCAGAGTGACCACAGGAATATGGTTATTAGAGTGGGATGCATGAAAACAAGATTATGGAGAAGTGATGCAGTCTAGAGTGGAATGCAACAATGGCAGTGAGTGCCTAAGGAGTGTGGAATATAGTGTCATTGGAAGAGACTCAAGGAGAGTAGATAATCATAAGGATTATCTACGTATATGTTGAAAACAAGACTTGGAATTAGGAAAGGTGCTAGAGAGGATGCCAGTAGCCAAAAGATAAAGTCCTTGAAAAATAAGGCAGAGTGATATATGAGTGAATAGGTGACTACCACAATGAGAAGGGTGACAACATCAGAGGACATGAGTTAAAAAACAAAGCCAAGCAAATACTGGTTGGGGGAGAAATTAGAAAAGGGAGAAGAAGAACAGCCTGAAAGAAGCAATGAACAGCAAGGAGGATTCCTATCCCACCTCCACGTCCAGTGGAATGAGGTCTCTGGAAAGCCTGCAGGGACAATTGCATCTACAGGGGGTGAGCCAGGCTTGCTTAGAACAAGGTGAAGGAAATACTCAGAGAAGAGATTGAGAATACACAGGATTTTGCTGGTGATGGACCATGGATTCCAGAGGACACAGTGGAATAGTCTCAGAAATTGGGGAGTGGTCGGGAAAGGATTCAAAATAGGTGATATGAAGAGCCTTGAGGTGGGCTAGTGGGTGGAAGATGAAGGGTGACCTGGAAGTGTGGAATTTTTCCTGGTAAGGGATATAATAAACAAGAATAACAAGGAAAAGTTTCAACCAAATGAGGAGAAATGATTATTCAGCTTTTATTTGGAGTCAACAAAGCTTAAATATAGTTAATATTTTCTTATTTGGAAGGGGAAAATTAGTTTAGATCATTTTATTTCAAACTTGGGTTGTTTTCCTTGTCATCACATATTCCAGGAGCCTGAGAGAGAAACGTGGGGCTAGGGCAATCTCCCAGGATCCACATTGGGAGCCTCAGTATAGGTGGGTTTGATGAGTACCTCATACCACTGGACTTGTACTTTTGGTTTTAAATAGCCCTTATGTGTTCCAAGATGGGCCCAAGCATGTTGGCCTATGGCAAATTTGAGTAGGAAACGTTTTGCCTCTTGATTGGCCATCCTTTACACTCTCATTACATTAGCCCTGCAAATTCTTTTTTTTTTTTTTTTTAAGATTTTTATTTATTTATTTGACAGAGAGAGACACAGCGAGAGAGGGAACAGAAGCAGGGGGAGTGGGAGAGGGAGAAGCAGGCTTCCTGCCAAGCAGGGCCCGATCCCAGGACCCTGGGATCATGACCTGAGCCGAAGGCAGACTCTTAACGACTGAGCCACCCAGGCACCCCAGCCCTGCAAATTCTTGATCTTGTATGTTGGACCTGCCTTACAAACATCTAAATTTACCTGTTTACCTGGCACTCATTCTTATGAAACTTAAAAGTTTTCTGTTTTTGTTTTTTTTTTTAAGATTTTATTTCTTTATTTGACAGAGAGAGAGACAGCAAGAGAGGGAACACAAGCAGGGGGAATGGGAGAGGGAGAAGCAGGCTTCCCGCTGAGCAGGGAGCCCAATGCAGGGCTTGATCCCAGGA